AATCACCAGGATGGTTCAGGACAAAGGAAGGTATAGATAGATCTGTTACTCACAGGGTTGCCATAAGTCACAGCTGCCTCAATGGTGCATATCAACAACAGCTGTGATTCCCCCCCCCTCCTAAAAAAGAGGATGACAAAGAAGAAAAAGAATAATCACTGTCAGAAGAGGTTTGGACATGAACAAACAGCCCTAATTAGGCAGAATTAAACTCAGTAATTTTGTTAAAGGAATATATACAATAATGTAAAAACCTGAAAGTAAAACCTTGTGTTTTGGGGGATAAAAAGAAAATTAATGAAGGTACTTAGGAGGATTAGGAACTATTTGTTTCTTTTCTAAACATCTGCTACAGAAAACATCAGTGTATTACTGTAAGAATTAAAATATGCAATCTAATTGACTTGTTGCTACAATATGTAGCACCTGTTGTTAGTTGTTATTAGGTGCTGTCGAATAGAGTATGACTCATAGCGACCCTACGAACAACAGATCTGAACCTGATCTGCCCTATCCTGTGCCATCCTCACAAACTCTGACACATTGGAGCCCAGGATCCCTAATTACATTTGCCTACACATGTAAACAAGTCAAGCAATAGGAAAAAAGTCTCTATTCAGGAAACACTCCTCCATCATTAATATTGTTAGGTGCTTGTTGTTGTTTTTGTTGCTGATTGCGCTCAAGTCAAGCATGACTCATAGTGATCCTGTGAACAAAAGGCCTGAAGCCTTTCTGTAACTACCAACCTTTATCAAAGTTCATAGAGTTTCCAGAAGCATGCTGTTTTAGGAAGTGGATGCCACTCCTGTTTCCAATAATTCCCTAAACAAAGATTTATTTGCTTATGAAACTTATTTTACTTTATAAACTTAATTCATTCCATGGTTCAGTGCTTTCACATATGTATTTTCTAGATATATTTCTATTTTATAGATTAAATCATAAACATCTCAAAGTTTTTAAGACATTGTAAGATGGAACTTGGCTGAAAGTAGAGAGTACCAGAGGAATGTCTATCTGTGCTTCATTGACTATGCTAAGGTGTTTGCCTGTGTCAATCACAGCTCTTGTTGACTGAGAAAAATGGGAATCCCAGAACGCTTGATTGTGTTTATGCGAACGAAACCTACACTTGGACAAGGAGTCAGTCATCAGAACAGAACAAGAAGATACTGCATGGTTCAAAACTGGGAAGGAGATCTGCCAGGGATGTCTTCTGTCGCCATACCTTTTCAATCTATATGCAGAACAGATGATCCAGGAGGCTGGGCTATATGAGGAGGAATGTGGCATGAGGACTGGATGAAGATTCATCAACAATCTACATTATGCAGATGACACAACTCTGCTTGCTGAAACTGAGGAGGACCCAAAGCACTTGCTACAGAAGATTAAGGAGTGCAGTCTTCAAAATGGATTGAAGCTCAACATCAAGAAAACAAAGATTCTCACCACTGGGCCAATTGGCAGCATCAGTATGGATGGTAAAGAGATTGAGATTGTTAACAGCTTCGTTTGCTTGGTTCTACAATCAACACTCTTGGTACCAGCAGCCAGAAAATTAAAAGACTAAGTGCATTGGAAAAGCCTGCTGTCAGGGACCTCTCCAGAGTACTAAAGAGCAACGATTTAAGTCTGGAGACTACGATGACCCTGATCCAGGCCACTGTCTTTGCAATTGTTTGCTATGCGTCAGAGAGTTGGACAATGACTAGGGGTGATGGAAAGAGAAATGATGCTTTTGTTGTGCTGCAGAATAGTGTTGAATATACTGTGGATGCCAGGACAACAAACAGATTCATCTTAGGGAGGGTGAAGCCAACCTGATCCTTGGAGGCAAGTATTATGAGGCTTTGTCTCACATACTTTGGGCATGTTACAAAGAGGCACCAGTCCTTAGAGAAGGACATCATGCTTGGAAGGGTAGAAGGATGGAGAAAGATAGGGAGACCATTGAAGAGATGAATTAATACAGTGACTGGAGTAATGAGGGTAGGTATGTCAGAGACAGTAAAGTTGGCACAGGATAGAGCAGGCTTCAAGGGCTTTTATACATAGGGTTGCTATGAGTCACAAACGACTCGATGGCACATAACAACAACAACCATAGTTGTTATCCTAAAAACTTTATACTCTAATCTCATGGTCCATCCATGTTCATGTTTATCATTGCAGTCACTGTGCCAATCCATCTCATTGCATGTCTTCCTTGCTTTCCAAATATAGTGTCTTTAGGTGAGGATTTCATTGATATCTATTACAATAAAATGATTGCCACCTTAGCATTATAAGCCAAAGTCGGCACAAAGGCCAAAACTACAACACTAGAAACTTTAGAGTCAGAAGTAAGACAAAATAGAATGATCATCTTCATTATTTAGCAATGCATTTTTAAGCTTGTTTAGATTAATTTTAAAAACCCATGCTTACTGCTATTGGGTGGATTACCACTGTTAGTAGCCATTTAGGACAGAGTAAAACTGGCCCATAGAGTTTCCAAAGCTGTAAATCTTACTAAAGCAGTCGGCCATGTCTCCTTCCCATGGAACAGTTAGCTAGTGCATTCAAACTACAGAACCTATTGTCAAAGGCAGGGTATTTTTATATTTGAGTTTTTAACATCAGAGTATTTTATTCACTGTGTCACTGGCTCAGTTTGATATCAATTAAGAAAAATTATTGAACAAAACTCTAGAGCAGGTATCAGAAACATTTACAGTAATGAGCTAGATGTTGTGTTATTGTTATTGTTAGGTGCCTACTACAACTGATAGCCACCCTAAGAACAACAGTTCAGAACCTTCTCCTTCTGTCATCTGCACAGTCTCCACTATGATCAAGTCCATTGCCGCAGTCACTGCATCAGTCTATCTCTTTGAGGGTCTCTCTTTTGCTCTACCTTTCCCAGAATCACCCCTTTTTCCAATAACTAGCTCTTCTTGACAACACCCCCGAGCTATATAAAATCTAGGGAGTACCTTGGTTGTACTTCCTTCAAAACAGATTTGTTTATTCTTTTGATAGTTCATGGTCAATGCTCTTTGCCAATACTACACCTTACTCTTTGTTCAACTTTTAGGTATAGATCATGCAACTGAAAAAATACTGTTGCTTGTATCAGCTGCATCTTGGTCTTTAAAATGATGTTTTTGCTCGTTAGCACTGTGGAGAGGTCCTTGACAGTAGAGTTTCCCACTGCAACACATCTTTTTCTTTAAAATCCATGTTACCATGAATGTAGATTGTGTATCCACATGAAATGCAATGAAAGACAATTTTAATCTTTCCACCATTTAGCATGATGTTGAGAATTGAGTCTAGTGTTGAAAATTTTTGTTAGATGTAATCTGTTATCTTTTATCTTTTTCATTGAGTCCTTCAATGAAATCAAATTTTTGTCTTCTGCATAGAGTAGATCGTTTATGAGTCCTCCTCCAAAATTGATGTCACAATAAAAGCTATAAAAGAGCAGACCGCTTTGTTGTGGTGGTGGTTTTTTTAGGTGCCATTGAGTCAAGTGTGACTCATAGTGACCCTATGAACAACACACTAGAACCCTGCCCTACCCTGTGCCATCCTCATCATCTCTAACAGCCTAGATCCCACTGCTGAATTCACTGTGTCAATTCATCTCATTGGGAGTCTTCCTTTACTTCTCTGACCCTCAATCTTTCCAAGCATGATGTCACTTTAGAAGGAATAGCCTTGTTTAAGAAACGAAGCTTCACCATCTTGCCTGCAGCAAGCATGAAGCTGCACTTTCTCTAAAACATACCTTTTGCCCTTCCATGGGATATTCAGTTCTCTTCTGTAGCACTTCAACACAAAGACATCAATTCTTTTGTCAGCCTTACATATTAGCTAAACTATCTGATCTGTAGCAGGAATTTCAGAAGACCATGACCTGAATCAGGCACACCTTAGTCTTCACACATACATCACTGTTTTTCAGTAGTCATAAGCAACACGCAAACAAATGAACTTGGTTGTGTTCCAGTAAAACCCTATGGACTTTGCAATTTGGCTTTCAAATAAATTTCACATGTCAGAAGATATTTTCCCCTAGTCATTTACAAATGTGTAAAAAAAGAAACCCACCAAACCCCAAAACAAAACAAACAAACCAACAAACCATTTTTAGCTCCTCAGCAATGCAAAAATAGATGGGGAGGGAGATAGTACCATGAAGGGGTTTTTTTTTTAACTTTCTTTCAACACTAACCTTTAAATTCTAGGCTTTAAAAACAGGTTTGTTTGTGTGGGTTTTTTTTTACTATGATCACATATTAATTGTGAATTTTTGAAATCCAGCTTTTAGAATAATATAAATAAGCTTAACTAATGACTTGTTTTCCTGATTTGGGATTTATTTTTGTTTGTTGGGGGGAATTTTTCTGGAGCAACTATCTTACAGGCAGAGTAAATACGCTAACCAAATTAAAGATATATTGAACTTTAAGACAGCATTTCTACTTCCTTTTCTCCTTCCCTCTCTCTCTCTTAAAAAAAAAAACCAAACCCAACAGCCTGTTCTCTTTATCTGTTAATTACATTTCTGTAGACAGAGTAACCGTAGGCATTTCTATTTGCTGTATATCTAATCTGCAAGCCTCGGTGAACTCTCATCAGAACAATGGTGTGCACACAGTTGCTGCATTCATACTGGTTTCTTCTCTCTCTCTCTCTCTCTTTTTTTTTTGGTATTGAACTACAGCCAAACATTAAATTACCTTGGGAAATAAAAGGTGAAAGGGAAAAAAAGCCAACAGTGGAATTTGGCTTCATTTCAGGAGGACATTCAATCTGAATTCAGAGGAGAAGTTGTTTTGTCGGGTTTTAGTTTTTTTAAAGCATGAGAACTAGCAAGACGTAGCACTTTTCAAACAAACCGATGATTTTAAGTTGGTAGGTGACTGTGTTCTTGTTTCTATGCAGGTGGGGCTGTAGGTCAGGTGTGAGTGTCTATAAAATCCACACCCATTTTTTAAACCAGAAACATCCAGAGTGTGTTTGCAACAAGACCAGTGGCCAGTTCAGGTAAGTAAGCAAAGTTTCTAGATTACTTAATCAGTGGGTAAGCTCAATTTCAGTGATCAGCTTTTGGTATTCAAAAGCGAGGCCTTTACTTAAGACGGGAGGAAATAAAATGAAATTGTATTTTTCTTCTTTTAATAAAATATATTTGCTTTTTTTAAAGTTTTCTCTCTATAATCATGATGTTGGAAAAAATTAGTTTTAAGTAAAAACTGGCTCTAAAAATTACAAAGCAAGCAACAATTCTCTCTTGTTTTATATTTTTATTTTTCAAATAGATAGTAATTTTTATATGTTACTGCTTTAGATTCAAGTATTAACCTGGAGAAAGGACAAAAGTTATACAGGAGTTGTGTTCATAGGGTTGTTATGAGTCGCCTGCGACTTGATGGCACTTAACAACAACAACTGCTTTAGAGTTTTTATGACTCATAGCTAGCCTTTAAGACAGGATAAAATTATCCCATAGGATTTCCAAGAATTTACAAAGACAAGGTGCTACATCTTTTCCCCAAAGAGTAACTGGTGGGTTTAAACGCCAATCTTTCAGTTAATTGTGAAGAGCTTTAGCCAACGCAACACCAGGGTGACTTTAAACGAAAAAAAAAACACAAACATGTCATAATATCTAAGTACATTACTTCTGCTAAATTGCTTTTGAGAGCCTAAGACTGTGACAGAATTGCTAACTGGACGTTGATTACAGTACACAGCATAGTGTCATGATCATGTCATAGACGTTCTCCGAGTAGCTTAAACATATGCCTGTTATGAGAGGACCTTCAGCAATTTGTACTTTAGTTCACCAAGAAAAGCAATGATCATCCAATAATAATAATATATAAGTTGTATTGTTTTGCCATAAAGTATTTTTCTAGCTATCTCATAATTTATCAAATAATTTAAAAAAAGAAATGTTTTTATTTTTTAAGTAAAACAGTATTTGACAGTAATGAACAAATATTTGACATTTGAAAATAAAATAGTGATCTTATTGAACTCTAAAACTGACAGCTCTTTTGTAAAATAATTTTCACCTGCTAATCTCTGTCCTTGATATAAGGAATCGTTTCTAACAGCACTTCCTCCTCCACCTTGTTGTTGGTTTCCATAGAGTCGATTCTACGGCATGATAACTCCCCACATGCCAGGAACTCTTCCATAGTGTGTTTGAGACCGTGACTTTTAGAAGCAAATCACTAGGCCTGTCTTCTGAGACACCTCTAGATAGGTTTGAACTATCAACCTTTCTGTTAGTAGTTTGCACCACCTAGACATTTCTCCTTCCAGATTAACTTTCTTTACTTCTTTACATTCAAGGGAGGATCTTGAGGCAATTATAAACTTTCATAATTGAAAATGCACATGTTGTTATTGTTGATTGCCTTCGAGTTGAGCATGACTCATAGCAACCCCCTGAACAAAAGGCTTGACCCCTCTACAAACAGATAGATACATGAAATTTCACATATAATTTCAGAGTAATGTGAACCACCCAACGTTCATCCATAGATTTTCTAGATATTCTAGCAGGCTTCTGGATCCAGGTTACCCCTGTTCTACATAATTGTTCTAGCTTTTCTACTTTGACATTCAACTTGAGTCAGCCCTCTTCAGATTGGGTTGTGTATTTCTGATTCATCTGTCCTGATCTCCAGGATGATCATTAAGATCATGTAATATATAATAATTAATATATAATATGCAATACATAATTTATAATTTATATATATATGACATTTTGCAGTGGTTTGAGGTTTGTTGGGGTTTTTTTGTTCTTGTCGTTGCTGTTGTTTTTTATTTTGTTTTTACTGTTGAGTCAGAACTGAACCAAAGCTGACCTTTCAGCGACTTTTCAGCACAATTAATAGCACAAGAAGGGATTGCCGAGCTTTCTTCTGCAGACCAGCTAGTGGATTCAAACTGTGTACCTTTGTATTGCCAGTTCAACTCCTTACCACCAAGCCATGAGAACTGCCTAGACCTCAGACTCATTGCCTTTGAATTGGCTGATCCTCCACTGGGTTCCTGAGCCTACAGGTCATAAGGGAGAAGACCGGCCATCTTTCTGTCTTAAGACCTCCGTGGATTCAAACCACTGAAGAGGTAGTTCCTTTGGGTTAACTCCCTACACCACCAGAGTTCCATTAATAAATTGTATTGTTGTTGTTGTTGTGTGCTATTGAGTGAGAATGGACTTATAGGTGACCCTCCAGCAGCTTTTTAGAGGCTGTAAATCTCACAAGAGGAGATTGCTGATCTTTCTCCCTCCAAGCAGCTGGATTTGAATTGCCTTTGACTTGCCAGCACAACTCTTTACCCACTTGGCCACCAGAGCTCTCTTAACAAATTAAAGAAATTTAAATTCTTCTCAGGAACTATGGTCATTCCTTACCTATGTGCTTCAATGTCTGCATACAAAAAAATAAGGAAGAAAACAAACTGTAATAACAAGTCCACTTCAGGCTGATCAGTTGCCATCATGCTGATTCAGCTCATGACAACCCCCGGTGGGTCAGAGTAGAACACATAGAGTTCATAGTGCTCATAGAGTTCTTAATGACTAATTTTTAGGAGCATGAGTAGGCCTTTCTTTCCAGATGCCTCTGAGTAGATTTGAACTACCAAATGTTTTGGTTAATACCCTTGTTAATCATTCATCGTACTCAAAAACTCCACTGTACATGAGAGAGGGTGAAACCAAATTTCTCTTTCAAGGCTGGGATTTTGAAGCTCAGTCTCACATATTTGGGGCATGTGGCCAAGAGGGACTGATCCTTGGAAAAGGACATTGTGCTTGGAAGGGTGGAGAGACAACGCAAGAGAGGAAGATCCCGGATAAGATGGATTGACACAGTAATTGGAGTATTGCGGGGAGGTGTGTCAGAATCCATGAGACTGGCTCAGGACAGGGCAGGCTTCAGAACTATTGTGCATAGAGTCACTATGTGTCAGGGACAACTTGATGGCATGCAACAACAATCTGATCTTAAGGTATCCTAGTGGTAAAGAGTTGTGATGTCAACTCAAAGGCGTACAGTTTAAATCTACCAGTGGTTCTGTGGGAACAGTCCTGCTGGAGGGTCAACTATGAGTTGATTCCAGCTCAACAGTATATAACAACAATTTGTCTTGAAGAAACTCCAGTGGTATGCCATATAACAAGCTTCTGAGAGGTCAGCAGTTCAAATCCACCAGCTGCTTTAGGAAGAGAGATGAACAGTTGTCTCCCATAAAGATTTATGTCCCCAGAAACCTGATGGAAGTTTGTCATGAAATGTAATCAACTTGCCAGCAGTGCATTTTAACCAGATCTTAAGTGAGTTTCATAGTACATTAAGTTGTCTAGGTCAGGCTTTCTGTGCCTGGGCCCAGTTTCCTTGTACTTTTTTCAGAATACCTGAATGCAGCTTTCCACAGCATTTCAACTCAATAGTTGGATACATTTTAAATATATATTTTTAAACAGTAAAAGTAATGAGTGAATGATCTGTTACTGTTTGGGGTCAAGACACCCACATGGAGCAGTTTGTCCTCACAGGTTTTGGCCTAACCTTCAATAAAGGTCTTTTAATGACAGCCTAGGGTGACTTTGTAAATTCTGAAAATTCTTTTCTATCACCTAGCAACTTCTGAAGAGTTCCCTAGGAAAAAGGATGCTACACTCAGCTTTAACCCTCAGTGTCTTATTCATCACTGTTTCCTCCAACCTTGCCAGTGCAATAAAAAAGGCAAGAAGACCACCTCAGACACTCTCACGAGGTACTGGAATCTTATTTTCTAAATTCAGTCATTTTTTTTAATTTACTCTATTCTCCTTTAATAAATATGTTGTTGTTGTTGTTAAGTGCTGTCGAGTAGTAGGCGACTCATGGAGACCCTATGAACAAAAATCCCCAACACTTGCATGACTTTCATCCTTTCTTCAGGTTCATAGTGTTTCTTGAGGCAAACTATTACGGAAGTAGATGCCATTCCTGCTTCCAAGATTGTTTTAATTGGGGAGTGCCACCAAACACTCTCCACCATGGGTAACCATTAACACATTGGACACATCAGTGTCACAGTGTTCAGCTTCACAGCGACCACAAGTTACCTGTGTACAGAAAGTGGACACACCAGGGCTATATGACCTAGAAGAATGTTTGAATAAAAACAATGAAAAACAGGCCTGAGGGCCACGGATTAGAATTCACCCACCTTTGGCTTGGTTTGCTGGAATTTTTGCTCAAAACAGACACAGAATAAAAAGGATGAGTTGATTTTAGGGAGTGAAAATAACTGACAGTAATATCCATTTGCTGTAACTTTCCAAGTAAGAGTGCAGAATTGATTAAGTTGCCTGTAATTTAGTAACTGGAATCCTCTACAATAATGAGTGCTGTTGTTCTTACTGTTGTTATGTACCATCAAACTGACTGCAATTCATAGCGACTCTGTGAACAGCAGACCTGAAACCTGCCCTATCGTATGCCATCCTACCATCACAGACACGCTTGAGCCGGTTGCTACCATCACTGCCAATGATTGTTGACATAATGATATCCTGAATACAATTTATTATCCACCACCAAATTTGCTTATTTTCCATACTTAAGAAAGAAAGAATTTAGAGTAACTTTATGGAAGACTGGGGAGCTCTGGTGGGCTAGTTGGCAGGGGGTTGCACTGCTAACTCGATTGGTCCTCTAGTAGGTGGATTCCACCAGTAGCTTCATGGCAGTCTCCTCCCTGAGATTTTCAGTCTGAAAACCCCCTCACTGGAGAGTCAGCTGTGAGTCAGTTCTGATGAGACAGCAATGAATTGAGTTGAGATATATAAGACCATGCAGACCATTATGCTTTATCTCACCTCTTGAGAATTTTGACTGACCAAGATCTTGCTATATTGATTACAGAAAATGGCTGTAGTGGTTTAAGACTTCATAATCTAGATTTGTCATTGGGTACATGATTAGAAAATGTTGTATCTGTATTTATTGTTTTACTTTGATTTTGTTTTAAAAAAAATCTCTTTTTGCCTCTATATATTTTTCAAATAAACTGTTCTCAAAATTGGCTCCTGCAACCTCAAATGACAGAAAATGAGAACAGAATATTTTTTTTCATGACTAATTGAAAACTAGCAGTATACCCACAAAAACGGTCACTAGCATAGATTGTAACGTGAACAGAACAAGCAAATGGAGAACAAATAGCATAAACTCAAGTTTTATCATATTGTCTTACTTTCCAAATTCATGCTTCTCTGATGGATGGATGGAGTGCCAACTAAGTATCTATCCATGTTTAGCCAAGTTAATGAATAATATTTAAGTTTACCATTCACACAGGTGATTTATATAGAAAGTTGATGTTTTTAAAAATGTCTTTATTGATATTTGAGTGAAAGTGTACAAAGGAAACGAGTTTCTTATGCAATCATTCAGCCATATTTCTTGACATTAGTTCTTCTACTCACAAGGCAATCATGCTCTTCTTGTTTACTCTGTTATTCTTGTTCCCATTCATCCTCTGTCTTACTCTTCTGCTGTCTGAGCTTTCTCCTTGGGCAAATCTAAGCTGCTCTTTGGATCTCATATAGCTGAGTGTTCACATTATCAGCTTGTCTATTATTTATCTAAATGTTGAGCCAAAGGGGTGAATTTTGCTCCAGATTTGAAAGGTAAATATGGTTATCATCTTGGGGTTTCTACCAGTCTGTCCATTTGCTGTACAAAGGTAACTCGACTCGTGGTTGCTGGATGTTAAACACTGTGACACTGATGTGTCAAATGCGATAATGGTTACCCATGGTGGACAGTGTTTGGTGGAGCTCCCCGATTAAAACAAGCTAGGAAGCAGGAGTGGCATTCACTTGTGTAAATAGCTTGCCTCTGGAAACCCTATGAACCTGGAGAAAGGATGAAAGTTCTGGTCTTTTGTTCATACAGTTGCTATGAGTTGTCTACAATTCGACAACACTTAACAACTATCAGATCTGTAATCCAGGCCCTATTTTTGCTTTTGGTTTTAGTTCCATGTTTTTGCCCCCTCTGTCTATCTTTTAGTGTGAATCTTTTTAGCGTGGCCTGCAGTGGTACCCAGAGGATCATCTAGTTCTTCTGATCTCAAGATTGTTCAGGTGGAGGTTCACATGGTCCATTAGTCCTAGGACTATTTGTTTCTTTGCATCTTTATTCTCTGTCTGGAATGATGAAGAACAAAGAAAATCAGGTTCTCTTTAGATGGCTGCTCATAAGCTTTGAAGAACCCAGGTGCTAGTCACTAAAATAAGATATAGAATATTTTTCTGTCGACTATTATGTCAATTGATGAAGTCAACATGTTTTTGCAAAAGAAATAAAAGGGGAAAATACTTTTTAATTGTGATTTATCATAGAGCTCTCTATGTTGGGTTCTCTTCCTACATGTTGCTGTGTACCTTTCTTTGCTCCATTATTCTTTATGCTTCCAAAAGAATTGTGTCTTATTGAATTTCTCAACCAGGAAATTCTGGAAATGTTCCCATGTTGGAACTCAGGCATAGTTAATATAATTTGGACTTCCTTTTTTTCACGATCAATACTTGTTTAGAAGAGTCAACATCTTCTGGCACTCAAGAAACAAAGGAACCTTGAACGGAAAACCAATAAGCTTTGAAAACTTCCTCTCAAATTGCAATAAAAAGGAAAAATAGATGAGCAGGGGCATTTCTTCTGTAGTTCTACCTATAATCCTGATGTATTGTCACTGCCTCCAATTATGATCTAGTGATTATTTTCTTTGTCCAAATCATACAATGAAAGGCAGAGTTTTTACATGGTCTGGAAATGCCCTTCTAATCACTCTTTAATCATAATAGCATTTTATTGCATATTTTCTACATTCAAGGTGACTGGCCTGGATGCTTGGAAACACCAACTCAAAACCTCAACAATGCAGTTAATAAGGGCATCCCTCTCATATCTAGCTATCCTTATCCATTACATCCTATGCCAAAAGGTTCCTGGATGTCAAAAAGTGCACTTGATTGCTATCAAAAGCCTTGCACTTAATTACCAAAACCTGATAGCACAGAAGAAAGAAAGAACTGGCTATCTATTAGTATAAGACTACAGCCATTGAAAACCCTGTGGAACTTGGTTCTACACTGAAACACATGGGATTACTTTGAGTTAGAATGGACTAGATGGCAACAAATTTGGTTTGACGCTACACCTTAGTTAAAGATCTGCTAATAACCACTTAGCTGTCTGGAAGTACTTTGAGATGACTGAATGACTTGAGGGAGCACTTTGATGACTATTTTGAAGCACTTCTAGATTAGTGAATTTGTTTCTTATATTTCAGGATGGGGAGATGATATCACTTGGGTACAGACTTATGAAGAAGGTCTCTTTCATGCTCAAAAAAGGTAAGGTGCTTCTAAATCACATTTCATAGAGCATATGTATAATCCTTCTGAAAGAGTAAAAACCTAGCAAGCTAATTTAGAAAAGATGTCCAGTGTTTGTTCTGCTATTACATGCAATTTTGGATTAATAGTTGCCATTGTTGTTGCTATCAAGTTTATAAATCTTTAATTCGAGACAGCCACAAGTAAAATTTGATAAAATGGTACCCAGTATTTCACCACTTTAAAAATGCTTAAGTCCACTGGTCAGGACACTGTATATTGAGTTCTTCCAACTTTAAAGACAGTTGGTACTTTTAGCATTATTTTACTTTTTGAGTTTTTGAAAAAGAAAATCCCCAAATATCTTGTGACCCATGAAAATTGCATAAAGTTTGCATTTCAATGTTCACAAGTAAAGCCTTACTGGAAAACACTCATTTGCACATTCCTAATAACACTCTTTGAGATGGGCAAATATTTAACAACATAGAGGCAATTTTTGATACGAGAGAGGGTTTTCATTTTACTTGAATGAGAATCAACATGGATCTACTTGGATTTACAATTCATGATAGTAGTAGTTAAGACATCAAAAGACATGTATTGGAGACATTTTTTCTCACGGACCTCTTGAAAATGTGAATGGAATGCAGTTTAAATACTATAGTACACCTGACCCAAACCATGGTCTTTTCAACTGTTTCAAATGTATGTGAGAGTTGAACAATGAATAAGGAAGACCAAAGAATTGATGCCTTTACATTGCATTGGTTAAAAGTATTGATTAAACCTCAGACTGTCAAAAGAACAAACAAGTCTATCTTGGAAGAAAAGCAACCAATGTGTTCCTTAGAGGTAGGGATGGCAAAACTTCATCTCATTTATTTCAAGCAGTTTACCAAGCAATGCCAGTACTTGGAGAAACACATAATGCTTGGAAAAGAGCGGACGATTGTCAAAGAGATGGATTGGCACAATTCGTGCAACTTTGACATGAAGGAGATTGTGAAGTTACAGCAGGGGAAGGCAAGATTTCCATCTGTTCTCTATATGGTTGCTATGAGTCTAAGTTGACTTGAAGGCACTTAACAACAACAGAATTATTCAATGACAGATAAGTCATTTGTTGTTGTTACATGATGTCGCTTGTCACTCATACCTACCCTATGTACAACAGCTCTGAACCCTGCTCTGTCTTAAGCCAATTTCACTGTTTCCGACATACCTACTCCTATTACCCCAGTCACTGAGTCAATTAATCCCATCCAGAGTCTTCCTTTTTTGTGCTGTCTCTCCAACCTTCCAAGCATGATGTGCTGGCAACATGCCTATAATTTGTGAAATGGAGCTTCCAAATCCTTGCCTCCAATGAGCAGATTGGTTACACCCTCTCTAAGACAGACCTATCTGTTTTCTTGGAAGTCCATGGTATGTCCCATATTCTTCTCCAGAACCACAACTCAAGGGCATCAATTCTTTTATCATCCTTAAACATTGTTCAACACTATAATACAGAGCAAGCAATTTCAAAGACCATGGCTTGAATCAGGCTTACCTTAGTTCTAGACTGATATTGTTGCTCTAGAGAGGTTCCTGACATATTTTCCCAGTGCAATTTGTCTTTTTATTTCCCGTCTACTGGTACCAAGAGTGTTGATTGTGGAACCAAGCAAACTGGAACTAGTAACAATCTCAATCTCTTCTAAATCTATTATGATACCTTCTGCAGCAGATGTCTCAGGTCCTCCTCAGTTTCAGCAAAGAAGGTTGTGTCATCTGCATAATGCAAGTTGTTGATGAGTCTTCCTCCAATCCTGATTCCACCATTCCTCCTTATAAAGTCCAGCCTCCTTGATCATATGTTCTGAATATAGATTTAAAAGGTATGGGGCTAGAATTCAATCCCTGGTGTATACATTTCCTGATCTTGAACAATGCAGTCAGTGTGTCCTCTATGTGTTCTGATGACATCCTCCTTAAACCTTCTTGAGTCTCCTGGTTCAAATATAGATTTAGCATGATCACAATCAAGTGTTCTGGGATTCTCATTCTTCTTAAGGTTAGCACAATTTGTTGGGATCTGCTCTGTTGATTTTTTTTTTTAATTTATGTTCTGGTGAACTAGTGGTAGAGATGTGCTGCTAATCTCTAGGTGGTACCTCTCTGACAGTTCAAATCCATAAACAGCCCCTAGGAGAATGCTGGGCAGTATTCCTGTAAACATTATAACCTCTGAAGGCCTGCTGAAGGGTCAGCTCTGGAGTCAGTTCCAACTTGACATCAATGAGTTTCAGTTTAAGTATTTACTAGGGACCTCTGATCATGTGGTCCACAGAGACTTGCAGTGCTAACCCAAAGACTGTGACTCTGTAGTGCTTCAAATTCTCCAATAGCTCCATGGAAGAAAAGTGGACAATGTCCACCCATGTGATTTAAAGTCTTGAAAACCCAATGGAAGGTTAGCTATGAGCTGGTTCCAACTCCTTGGCAGTGACAGAATATATTTGGTGAATTTTTTGTTGTTGTTATGTGCCATTCAGTTAACTATGACTCATAGCAACCCTATGAACAATAGCTCTGAACCTGCCCTATCTTGAGCCAATCCCACTGTCCCTGACATACCTGTCCCCATTGCCAGAGTCATTGTGTCAATACATCTCATCTAGGGTCTTCCCCTTCTATGCTGACCCTCTACTCTTCCAAGCATGGTATTCTTCTCCAAGAACTGGTCCCTCCTGCCAATATGCTCAAAGTATTTGAATAATCTTTGCCTCCAAGTAGCAACCTGGTTTCACCCTCTCCAGGACAGACCTGCTTGTTTTCTTGGCGGTCTATGATATGTTCAATACTCTTCAAAAGGCATCAATTCTTCTGTTGCTCTTAGTCATTGTTCAGTTCTCAGATGCAAGGCAAGTAATTGCAAAGACCATGGCTTAGATCTGGGGCACTTTAATCTCCAGACTGATATCAGTCCTTAGCACTCTGGACAGCACTCTGTTCCCTGACAGCAGACTTTCCCAATGCAGTTTATCTTTTGATTTCCTTACTGCTAGTGACAAGAGTGTTTATTGTGGACCTGAACAATATGAAATTATTATCAATTTTCATCTTTTTCTCATTTGATGTACAGGGTTATCTAAGGACCCAAGTAATTTAAAAGAATATTAAGTACTCAATTATAATTCTCTTATCTTGTATCATAGTTACTAACATAATTTTCTGCCCTAAGAATTGTTGTTGTGGGCGAGCTCTGGTGGTCTAGTGGCAAGAAGCTGCAACTACAGTCTCAGAGGTGCACGGTTCAAATCCACCAGATGCTCTGCTAGAGAAGGAGGAACAATCTCCTCCTGTACCAGTCAGATCTGATTTGATGGTACACACAAAAAATAATGAAATAAAATAAAAAAAAGAATTGTTGTTGTAACAATATGCCATCAAGTTGCCTGAACTTTGCCATCAAGTTGCCTGAAACTTATAGCGACCCTATGTACAACAGCCTTAAACCCTGCTCTGTCCTGTGTCAATGTCACTGTCTTCGACACATCTACCTCGATTATCCCAGTCACTGAATCAATCTAACTCATAGAGTGTCTTCCTATCCTGCACTGCCCCTCCACACTCCCAAGCATGACGTCCTTCTCCAAGGATTGGTCCTTCCTTGCATCATGTCCAAAGTATGTCAAATGAAGCCTCAGAATCCTTGCCTCCAAGGAGCTGCCTGGTTTAACCCTCTCTAGGTTGAACCTGTTCATTTTCTTAGCAGTCCACAGTATATTCAATAATACTCTTCTCCAACACCACAGCGCAAAGCCATCAATTCTTCTATCCTCCCTAGTCATTGTCCAGCTCTCTGGCACATAGTAAGTGATTGCAAAGACTGTGGCCTATATCAGGCACACCTTAGTCTCCAGACTGACATTGTTGCTCTTCAGTACTTTGGAGAGGTCCTTAACAGCAGACTTTCCCATCACAATGCTGTTGTTGTTGTTATGTGCCGTCGAGTCATTTGCGACTCATAGTGACCCTATGTACAACAGCACTACACCCTGCTCTATCCTGTGCCAATCACACTACCTCTGACACCCCCATCCCGATTACCCCAGTCACTGAATCAATCCACCTCAGAGAGGGTCTTTCCCTCCTGCGCCGTCCCTCCACCCTCCCAAGCATGATGTCCCTCTCCAAGGACCTGTCCCTCCTTGCAACATGCCCAAAGTATGTCAGACAAAGCCCCAGACCTAGAATCCTTGCCTCCAAGGAGTAGCTTGGTTTAACCCTCTCCAGGATGAATCTATTTGTTTTCTTGGCAATCCAGGCTACATGCAATACTCTTCTCCTGCACCACAGCTCAAAGGCATCAATTCTCCTTCTGTCCTCCCTAGTCATTGTCCAACTCTCTGATGCATTACAAGTGATTACAAATACCATGGCCTGTATCAGGCACACCTTAGTCTCCAGAGAGACACCCTTGCTCTTGAGTACTTTAGAGAGGTCCCTAACAGCAGACTTTCCCATCGCAATACATCTGGCTGCCAAGAGTGTTGATTGTAGAGCAGAGCAAACTGAAGCTGTGAACAATCTCAACCTCTTCGCCATCCATCCCGATGCTGCCAACTGGTCCAGTGGTGAGAATCTTTGTCTTCTTGACATTGAACCTCAGTCCATACTGAAGGCTGCAGTCCTTGACCCTCTGCAGCAAGTGCATGAGGTCCTCCTCAGTTTCAGCAAGCAATATGTCTTTTAATTTCCTGGCTGCTGGTGCCAAGAGTGTTGACTATGAAGCCAAACAAACTAAAGCTGTGAACAATCTCAATCTCTTCACTATCCTTCCTGATGCTGCCAGTTGGCCCAGTGGTGAGAATCTTTGTTTTCTTGATATTGAGCCTCAATCCATATTGAAGGCTGCAGTCCTTGACCCTCTGCAGGAAGCCCTCCAGGTCCTCCTTAGTTTCAGCAAGCAGGGTTGTATCATCTGCATAATACAGATTGTTGATGAATCTTCCACCAATCCTGATGCCACACTTCTCCTTATACAGTCCAGCCTCCCAGATAATCTGTTCTGAATATAAGTTAAAAAGATATGGAGATAGGACACGTTCCTGGCATACACACTTCCCAATTTTGAACCATGCAGTGTTTCCTTCCTCTGTTCTGATCATTGCCTCCTGGTCCATGTATAGGTTTCACATTAGCAACATCAAGTGTTCTGAGATTCCTATTCTTCTTAGAGTCAGACACAGTTTGTTGTGATACACACAGTCAAATGCCTTTGCATAGTCAATGAAACACAAATAGACATTCCTCTGGTACTCCCTGCTTTCAGTCATGATCCATCTAACATTAGCTACAATATCCTGAATGCCACGACCCCTTTCTAAACCCAGCCTGCACTTCTGGCAGTTCTCTGTTGATGTGCTGTTCCAGTCATTTTTGGATAATCTTCAGCAGAATCGTGCTTCCATGTAATATCAATGATGTTATTAGATTATTTCCACACTCTGTAGGATAACCTTTCTTTGGAATGGGAACGAATATAGATCTCTTCTAGTCATTTAGGCAAGTGGTTATCTTCCAGATTTCTTGACACAACTTTGAGAGCACATCTATGGCAGTATCTGCTAGTTGAAATATGTCAATTAGTATACCATCAATTCTTGGGGCCTTAGTTTTTGCCAATTCCTTCAAAGCAGCTTGAACTTCTTCCTTCATCACCATAGGCTCTTACTCATATATTGTTTCATGAAATTCTTCTGTGTCGACCAATTCCTTTTTGTACAGTGACTCTGTATACTCTTTCCATCTTCTTTAATACTTCCTGAATTTGAACATCTAGTTGCTATAGTTAAGGATGCTTTGGGCAGAATATTAAACCTTAAGAATAGGGAAGTAAATTATTTTTCTTCATTTTTTTTTTTAGAGAACTAGAAACAAATGACATTGAAAAACATGTAGTTATGGAACTTTCACTTTGTCTGTTTGTACTGAATGAGGTGCTACAAAAATGAAAAGATATCAAAATAGCCAAATATTATTACTATTGTGAAATAATTTTTAATAAGCTAACATTTTAAATCTTCTGAAATCTTATATCAAGTGTTCATTAGAAATCACTATTTTTTTTCTTATTAACTCTTAACTCTGGAATTTCTTTTTATTTACTTACAGAATTACAACATGATGTAAATAAGAATCTCCTAGTTAGTGTTTGGTGGTGCTCCCCTATTAAAACAAGCTAGGAAGCAGGAGTGGCATCCACTTCCAAAATAGCTTACCTCTGGGAACCCTAAGAATTTGGAGAAATGATGAAAAGTTATACATGTGTTCAGATCTTTTGTTCATGGGGTCACTATGAGTCATCTACAACTCGATGGAACTTAACAACAACAGTTAGCTTGTTAAGACACAGATTTTTAGACCTCATTTTCAGAGATTCTGGGACCTAACAATTTACCAATATTACCAACTTCTTCCTGTAACCTACATTGATTAAATCACTATGATTTGTAACTTTATACTTTTTATTGAAATATAGTTGAAAGTACTGAAACTTTAAATTTGATCCCATCACTCAATTTTTTTTTCTTTGTTCAAATATGTGCATTGTTTTATTTCATTTCTGGTACAAAATATTTAAAAAGGAATAATCATCAAAGTTAGGTATATTATTTTCTACCATAACTGTGATAATGGACATTGGTAATGTATTTTCAACATGGAGAAGATATTTTAAAAAT